AGAGGCCCCGAAAATGTTCCTGGTTCCTCCCACAGCTCTTAACACCCTCCATTGTTTATAGCCACAATAAAGTCTTTCCACTGATTAGCGCATTTGTCCAAGCTAAACATCATTATCCTGCTGGACAACAAAGACATAATGGATCAAGAGATTGACGGTAAATGCTTATCCTGACTGACCCACAGCTTTATGGGAAAATACGTCCCCCTAACTACATTGGAAGAGAAACAGAGTGTCATGATTAAAAAACAATACAGGTGTTTTCATTTGATTTTCTCAGTGCCTCTAATTTTGTATTCGCGATATGAGAGCAACTCATAAGACACTCTCCCACTGAGTCATGTCCAACAACTGTCTTTTAGAGATGTTTCCCACACATTCATGTCTCCTTGATAAAAAAAAACATTTAATCAGAAGGTGCTTCCTTAAATGACAGCCCCCACAAATATGACGTATATATGAAATTCCACTTTTGCATGAAATAATTTCAACATCTAGTCAAACAGAGACTGAGCGCCTTTCTCAAGTCAATGTGACATGAAGAAAAGCATCAGTATTCACTGCACTGGTGTCTACACTCTTAGAAATGAAAGAGCTCTTACTGAAGGGCTGAGTTGCTACCTACAACCATTTGCTTATTTTTTTGAAGAAAGTGTTCTTTGTAAGATGAAGAACCCTCTTCATCCAAAGAACCCTTTTTGGAAGAAGGCATTTGTCAGAGATTGTTGAAAACATGGGTGCTAACAGATCCTCACCCTCATATACTCAAATGTTTACCCATGTTTCAAATGGTATTTTTAAATGCAGATGTATCTGGAATAATCAGTTAATTTTACTTGTGTTCTGCTATAGTCTATATCTTTACAGTGATTTTAATGGGTACCCAGTACTCAGCATTTTGTGGGCTTTTCAGTTCTGATTTGGAGTTTCACTTCCCAACCCTACTGCATCACTGAAATAGTTAAGGCTGTAGTCGTGGAGATTTCATTAAAATCCTCACCTCCTAAAAACATGATTGTGAACCATAAGACTACCAGACTACACCTGGCCCCAGGCTAACCTGTTAAACTAAAACCATGTCTATTAGGAAAGAGATCTATGGGTAATGTAGTCAATTACTGTTTTTACAGCCCCCCTTGGTGGATTCTGGAAGAAACCCTTGGAATATAAAAATGTTCCCCATAGAGCCCCCTGTGTGGGTTCTTGTTAGCACCCTAAGAGGGTGGAAAAGTTCTGTACAGAACCCCAAGAAAGGGTTCTGGGTTGAACCATTACAACGACCTCTCATGGGGATTCTGATTCGAACATTTTACAGATGGTTCTAGGTAATGCCAGATTCACACTACACAACATTTCTGTCTGTTACAATGGTCACTTTGTCAGATTAGGCGATTGTGGAGTCATAAAATTGTGACATTACTTGGCCGACAGACATGACAGACGACACAATGGTCCACACCATTCATCCCTGACGTGTGTGATGTCATCAGGTTATTCTTGTCCTATCTTTATTACTATTACTATTATTGCAGTCACTGTGGCTGTTCATGTCCCAGCCGAAATGTTACTGTAGTAAGAAAATCAAACATGCAAGACTTTCTGTCGGGAGTCATGAGACGTCCCAGATGTGGCATCGGTTGTCGTCTACTATGACACACTACACAAAATGAAACGATGGATTATCGCGTACAGGAGTCGTTGACATTCAAGATCCAAGCCGACACCATACGACGCTGCGTTGGGCTATAATCGGGCTGATATCGTGTAGTGTGTACCTGGCATAAAACCCTTTATGTTGGGTTCTAGGTAGGGGTAGGAATCACCTAAAGCCCCACAATACAATATTATCACGATAAATATTGGATAAATATTGGGATTTAATAAGTTTTACCATATGCTGAATATTGCGATAACAGATACTATATTACCTTTTTTCAACTGTAAGTTATGTCCCTAAAGAATGTGGGTGTGAATGGTTGTCTGTCTCTATGTGTCAGCCCTGTGATAGTCTGGTGACCTGTCCAGGGTGTACTCCACCTCTTGTCCAATGTCAGCTGGGATAGGCTCCAGCCCCCCCGTGACCCCAACAGGATAAGTGGTTACGGAAATGAATGAATGAATGAATAAATAATAAAAATATTGAGTCTTGGCTCCCATGTATCGATACAATATTGCTACACAATGCTACACGATACTATGCTGTATCATTTTTTTCCCACCCCTACATCTGGGTAGAATGCTCAAAAAAGGGTTCCAGGTAGATCCTTTCTGAACTTCCTACCAGGAACCAAAAAAGGTTCTCCAGTGGGGACAAGCCGAAGAACCTGTATGGTTCTAATTAGCACCTTTATGTCTAAGAGTGTAGTTGTTACAGAGAGGGAACACTGGACCTGAAGACCTCACTCTGCTCTGGCTAATACTTCATATTTTGGGATTCTTGCTTCAGATACTAAAGTGAGTCATTTCCCAAAATCCTTTGACAAATTTCAGACCAGTTAACTGAATAAATCCCTTTAGCTATCATTAAGTGTCATCTACACTACCAACAAAAATGAAACCCTGAGTCAACAATTAGTACAAATCCACCCGTAATCTTTAAACATTAAACACCAGAACATAATAAGGCACAAGGATGTTTCAAACATGTTTTGTCTGCTTTCAAAAGCCTTCCTCAATCTATTCTCATGTTCAACTTAGTCACTGACTCTTGACTCATGACTGACAATTTCCATCAATATTGCCACACTTTCTTAAGGAAGTCTCAAAGTAATGCCATTTCTGTGAATCCTGTTTCCTGGATTAGCCTTTATATTATTAACTCGTAGATGCCGTCTTCCACAGGGCTGTGAGGTAAATAGATTTACGTGTGCACCACACTCTACATCTGACAATCAATAACAAGAGCTTTAAATTTTTGTTTCATATCAATATGAGTATTCCCAATGAGCTGACACCTTAAAAAATAGCCAAGAAGTTAGTTGAGAATCTGAAGGTAACAAAATCTGCCTGTTGGTTTTATCCATACAAACACTGAAGCGAAGAAACAAAACATGTGGTGTTACAAGGTGTGTTGGACTTTTTCTTGGCCGGAGGCAGTAACTTCCTAGAGTCTTGCTGGTTGCCTGGCAATCTCACAATCATGACAAGACCTGAGGAAGCAATACTAAAAATGATAACAGCTTTAAAGATGCTGGTAGGTGGATTTTGTTACCATTAGCAAGAGCCAGGCTAGCTGTTTCCCTCTGCTTCCAGTCTTTGTGCTAAGCTAAGCTAACTGGCTGTTAGCACTAGCTTCATATTTAAAGCACAAACATTAGAGCAGTTTTAATCTTCTCATCTAACTCTCACCGAGGAGAGTTTGGCTGAGGAGCTCAATGGCTAAAAAAAAAAATAATCGCACCTAATAGGGATGTACGCTACCGGGACTTTGACTATGTAACAACTCATTTGACCAATAACCGATACCGATATCGATCAACATATCCACTTTTTTCACTTCCTAATTTTAGTGATTATCAAGTCTCTTCTGTCGTGGAATTAACATCATACTACGCATACATACTCATTATCGTGATGGCCCACCAGCAGATGGAGACATGAAATACAATACTTTTCAATATGTGTAATATTCATTCATTGTGCAAAATAAGAAAACGCATGTTGGCCGATTATGATATTTAATTTTAAAACCAATATTAGCCGATGACGTGGTGATATTATCCTGCATTCCTATCACCTTATATAGCAAGTTGTTTCGATCTCACTCCCTCTTGACTTTCGTCATTTGTTTGCTTTCCTCTCTCCTCTTCCTTTCTCTTCTTGTGCACTGAGCTGAACTGCCAATCAGAGTGATTTCTCTCACCGTCAATATGCTGAATTAGCCAAAAAACAGCCAACAAGGGCCAACTAGAGACAACGGTGCAGGACAAATGGCTAAAACTAGGGTAACAGATGCTTAGCGACGGCCTGACATTGACTGACAGCTGAAGGTTGGTTTGGTGTGTGAGGGCCCTTTTGAACCTTTTTGCAATAGACCACTCCCACTGCCACCTGCACGCCAAATATCAGCCTCCTGGGGTTAAAACTGTGGCTGCCAAACTTTGGGGAAATTTTTGGGACCGACTGTTTGACCAACCTACCAACCAGCAGGGCAAGCTATAGAGCTGCTGGTAGCAGCAAAAGACAAATGCTCCCAAAGGGTCAGGCACACACAGAGAATAACTTGGGCCCAATCTGAGGTAATCCACCAATCTACATGATTTAAAACCTAATGTGATGCCAGCGCAAATGTTTACACAGGAAATCATTTAGTCATCAGTACTGTGGTTGTTTATGTTTTCCTGTTTTGCCCCTACCTGAAACATGTGATGCTGCAACAGACTGTGGTAGGAGGTGTCAGATCCCATATCTGATCACTGAGAGCATTTAGTTTTCTTTGAGGCTGGTCCTGAGCCAAACTTACGCAGGGTCTCTTTTGTTTCATAATGTCCACTCCAAATGGAGAAGCTGGCTGGTCAGAAATAAATAAATCACATAACATTGTCGATCGATTGTAAGCGGCGGTGGATTGCAGTACAGTGAATTAGGATGTGCTAAAATATTGACCAGCTGGTCAGTCCATGCAGACTGAGGTGATGAAAGCCAAATGCAAAGCTTGCATTGGTTGATAAATCATTTTGTCTTTTAAAATGTGCCGTGTTAAATTAATTTGTTACTGCTGTCTGTGGAGATGTTTTACTTCCCTTGTGTTTTGCCCTTTGCTACACTCAAGAGGTCTTCAGTTACCTTCTGGTAGGCCTCTTGCCACACACTTAAAATGAATTAGCTCTACTTGAGCCACATCCTCACCCGAGGAATCATGAATCAAGAGTTGAACCACTGTCACTGATTGCACAGTTCTGCTCTGTTATGTCATTTTATTTAATTTGTTGCAATATTAATGTTTATATTTTTTGTTTTATCGCCATTAACAGGAGCAGTGGTTGCATTTAAAGTATTACCTGCAGATGAGGAGTCGTCATGGTCGGAGCTCAGGTACCCATCACTCCTCCTGTCAGGGGTGCTGCACCCGGAGCCTCGGGAGGCTCTGCGGTGAATCTGCGGGAAGGACGGGGACAGCCTGCCGTCATCACCGGAGTCAAAGTCCCTGCTGTGGCGGAAAGGCCGTCGGTTGTCCCGGTTGTCCCGGTAGGCGCTGGACGTCCTCTGGTTGTCCCTGCCGCCGGTCTTTGGTGCCAACAAGTTATTCCTGACGAAATTCTCATTCAGCTCCGCATCCTCGTATTCTCGGTCGCTGCCCATGTCGTTGTCATTTGGCTGGGAGACAACAGCTGGGGTCGGGTCCACTCTCTGAAAGCTGGGTTTCCGCAGCGGGACAACAGGGATGGGGACGGGCTTACCTGTCTTGCCGCTGAACCTGCCCCGCTCCCGCCCGAAGGAGCTCATGACGCCTGCTGTGTTACCTGCCGCCGCGTGGAGCTTCACGCCTCCAGGGTCGGACACCTTGGTTCTCGCCCCGTCGACCTCACAGTCCCGCCGCTGCGGTTTCTGAACATCCCCGGGCTTTGAGAAGCCAAACGTGTCAGCGTTACAGTTCTCATCTTTGCCTTCAAACCTTTCCGGGTCGCTTCTCTTCTGCCGAGCCATGGTGGTCTGCAGGTAGATCACCTTGAATTTCTCCTCCGCCAGAGCCTTCTGGAGCCTCTTCAGGTTGGCTTTACTCGCCTCCAGCTCCGACTCGATGTCCTCCACGGAGTTCAGCGCCATTTGTGGGACTTTTCCGTCTGGAAATTCATTCCTCCAGTGTTTCTCAAATTCCTCCTGTTCCCACATTATCGATGTTCAAAGCGGGCTTTTCGCCAGCCGCAGTCTCGTATCAGTCAGAGAGAAAATGCTGGAGCTGTGTCTTCTTCACCGAGAGTTAGCGGCGCGTTTGTCGCATATATCCACCTTCCTCTGCTTCTGGGGAAAAAAAATGTCTGTCGATATTAAGTTGACCGCTTTCTGACCATCTTCAACCTCCCACACAAACAAACAGCAGGTCTACGTGTGCACACTGATGCGGAGAAGTTTTCTGCCACTACGCTGAAAAGTTTCGAGACTTCCTGTATTGAGACGTGCTGCCTTCAGGTGCTGCTCGAACAAGTGTGTTGTCTGTAAATCGAGCACACCTTTATGCCAGATTTTAAAGCAGGTGTATTTGGATTACCTTTTAATCTATATATTATTTTCTTTATTAGTCAATCAATTGTTTGATTACAAAACATTAGAAAGACAAGATAATCTTATATTAGTCCCACGAGGATAGTGCAATTACAAGAAGCACAAGCAAGATACAATAAATAAGTCACCAGCAAAAAGCAAAATTAATAACTGATTGAACACAAATGAAACAGTGTGAAAAGCCTGTTAAAATATCCCAGAGCCTAAAATGACTTAATCATATGTCTTGTTTTATCCAATCAAATCCAAAAATGTTAAATTTATTATAATGTGAAAGCCATAACTGACAAATGGTTGCAAGCTGATCCTCCAGCATTTGCTCCAACATGGCTGGGGATTATAAACGAAATATACTGTATAGAAACACTTTTATTTTAGGACCTGAGCAATAAAAATGTACAAAATATTGGGAGAAATGGATTGTGTTTAAATGCCACTAAGACAAGTGTGACAGTATGCCAAGATGTAAGTGAAAAAATGTACTGTGATTTGGAGTAGAAAAAAGAGTTGCAAAAAAATTAACTGCAATGTTAAGACCGAGGAAAGCAGCAAATCATCAATCATCAAAAATTCCCATCTTATATTTGCAGATAATATCACATTTCCACAGAGTATTTCCTGTCATGCGCAATAGTTATACAATTCCGACAGCACTTGAATGCGACAGGTACAACTAAAGTGGCAGTTGATGGGTGCGAGTTCATCACTCTAATCACAATCAATCAACCACCAGACTGTACATTTGGGTTCAGTGTTTTTTTGTTTGTTTGTTTGTTTGTTTGTTACGTGGTGTTTATTTATATTTTTACGAGACACATGACATGGTGGGTTGTTATTTAAATCCTATATTTATAGGCTCAAAAAGAAAAGGTGAACAGTCCAGCGAACTTATTGGATAGTGTGTGTCTCCACTGATACCTGATTTAGGAAAATCCAGATCTTAAAGGTACAGTGTGCAAGAATTATATATATTGGCAGAAGTGGAATCTAATATAATAAGTGTGTTGTCTTCAGTTTTCTTTACCTGAAAATAAGAATAGTTGTGGGTCCTCGTCCACAGAATCTGCTCTGTTGCACCACCATATTTCTACAGTAGCCCAGAATGGATAAACCAAACACATTCTTGACCGAGCCATTTGCCATTTGCCTATTTGTGTCAGCCTCCGTAGTTATCAGTCCGTGACGAGCAGTGTTGAAAAACCAATGATTTGTTTTTACTGTTTCAAATCACCAGGCCCATTTGTTTTGGAGAGGAAGTGACCTCTGCGGATAAGTCAGCTCTTGGGAAAAACTTATTGATCAATGAACACTGAAGGAGTTTTAACAGCGAGAACATTTAGCTGGTTGCAGTCTGCAACTTTTACCACTAGATGGCACTAAGGCTTTGTTTACATGGATACCAATACAAATAAAAACAGATTTTTATTTATCCCGTATTAAAAACATTCCGGGTTTACACAATCAGTTGTGAAAACGATATCCCTGTTTACACAAAAAACACAAAAACAGCAGCTTTTTGCTGCAATTAGCATGCCAGGCCAGTAAGTTGCGATACACCATAGAAGAACATTCTGCACATGCACAGTGATTTGTTTTCCTCTTGGCGCTAGTGATAAAAACAATGATAAACTACATTTTAACCTTATGTAGCACAGTTAGCTGCTATGCACTTACTAATATTGGGCACAGCAGACATCTTTGTTCGCCGATGTAGTGGTGATGTTGATGCAGCAGTGCTAAGTTCATTGTAAGCTCGTAAGTAGTCCCAAAAGTGCTAACAAAACGTAAACAACCCGGCATATATCTGCCATTGTTGTTGTGGTTCCCGGGCATCTAATGGGCATGCGCAAAGTGGGTTGCACAACAAAAAAAATCTCCATCTATCCTGTTTACAAGTCTCCGTAGAAACAGATATTTTTAAAAACTTTCACTTTGGAAGCCATCAAGAAAAACGCTGGTTACATGTAAATGAAAGGTGCAAATGCAAAGATAAAAACCTGTTTTCAGAAATATACGGAACTGTATAAACAGACCCTTAACCCCCCTAAACTGTACACACCAGACCTTTAAAAAGATGCAATTTGAAGGTTTGTTGTGTAGGATTTAGTGGCATCTAGTGGTGAGATTGCAGATTGCAACCAACTGAAACTTTTCCCAGCAGCCAAGCTGTAGGAGAACAATGGTGGCTGATGCAGAAATGCTAATTGCCCAATGTAGAGCCACTGTTGGTTTGTCTGTTCTGGGCCACTGTGGAAACAACATGGTGGACTAAATGGCTCGTTCTAAGGTAATGAAAGCACAGCGATTGTAGTTTATATTCCGTTCCTGCTAATGTATTTCCCTAAATCCTACACATTGGACCTTCAAAGTACAGAGCAAATAAAATGTTATGAATGTATTGGTCATTGTTTTCTAGTCAAGCTGCACTAGTGACAAAGTTGCACCATGACAAATTTTTGTCCCGTCACAACAGATTTGATATGACTATCATGATATCCAAGGGAAGCTGCAACACATGCTTTGATTGCAAAGAAGGCCTGGCTTATGGAGCCTCCTGTTTTGGGTTTACACAGGTCTACAGATTTGTAGGCGTCCTCTTTGACTTCAAGTCTTAACAGCATGGACAGGCATTTCCCATAGATATGAGTACTCATTTGCCAACTTGCATTGTTGCAAAACAGGACTGTGCTGTGAGAGGACAGCACTGTGACTAGAACTTGTCTGACACCGGTCTCCTTGCCTCCAGCTGGTGGTTTGACACAAGGGAAGGGAAGAGTTCTGAATGTGCTCGTGTTTAACAGGCTACTTGCTCTCAGGCCTCAGAGGAAACACTTTACTGACACCGCAAACCGACACACACACACATCAGTGCTTTTTACACGCTTATCAGATACAGGCACGAGTCATAACTCACAGCAGATCAACACATCCTCATTCTCTCGCTTTGTTTTTGATGCTATTTTATCACTGCAGAATAATCTTTAGTGAGAAACATGACCTTCTCTCCGCCTCTTCCGCCCTCTTGATTTGTAGCACACAGACAGATACTTTACATCCACTAATAAAACATTTTTTAATTTAATACAGCAATGGAAAAATGTCTTACCTTGAAAACTTTTGATCATAGCAATTTTCATGATTGATGATTACTCAAAGGCTGAAACATAAAACCCAGTCACCTTCATCTCCGCAGGATTCATGCAGCTGCATCCAGATAAAAAAGCTTGGTAAGCAGCCAAGCATGAGACTTCCAGTAAAACACGGATGTAATGCTATACAACAGGGAAGAAAGTTACCACTAAGGACAGAGAACTATAGGGGAGGGTGGAGGCAGAGATGGACGCTTGGCATTTTCGAGTGCCCGTTTGGATCCCTGCCCAGAACTGAAAGATCATTCTACTAAAAGCTTCCAGTAGCCAGGAGGAATCATTGATTAGCACTCGCTGCAGGCCTAAGAGCCCTGATTGGGTTACTGTAATGAATAGATGGGAAAAGGCTATGACCAGCCTGTAGTCACAAAACTGAAATACTAATAATCACAAGCCTGGTATGATATAAAAGGAAATGCACTTTTCTGGTTAATCTAGTGCTCTATAGAGTCAGGAATGCAGAAGTGTCTGTCTCAGCTCAGTCCAGAGATAATGGCATGACTGGGGAGGGTGGTAGCGCTACTCACAAAGAGTGGAGTTAGCAGACAGCATTCTTTACGTCTCATTCCCAACGTGCTTTAATTCATCAGACAACAAACTCACTGTTTTGATCCAGACATGAAATACGTGAGAATGCAGCAACACACTCCAAGGACAGCTCTATTGGCTGCATGTAAGAAGTATGGAAAAATGCAGTGCACTCTGAGCACCGGGATGGTGCACTCAAAACGGTCAAGAAGTTGAGTGGAACTATGGACACTTCTCGCCCTCAATGGTCGCCATCTTGTCTACGTAGCGGAAAGCGAGGGACCACTTTTCAAACTGGAAATGGCGGCTAAGGAATGTGCGACGGTGAAAGTCGCTGCACTGTACAAATCTAAGTTATACATGTGTTTTTTGCACTAAGCACCACTATACTTGATGTAATGGTTTGGTACCACGAACGATAACACGAATGCTAATGCTAGTTTGCTAAATAGCTAATTTGCGGTCGTTATTTCAGGTGAGTGCACATCGGCCGTGCTTGGTTTGAGACAACACTACCCTGTCGAAATTTGCACACTACACCAATAAGTACATAGTGCACATAGTATACTACATGGAAGTGCACTAACTGAAGTGTGTGATTTGAGACACAGTGTCAGTTCAGTTTTGTTCAATGATGTTCAACCTATATGTTTAAGAAAATGTACTCAGAAGAGATTGCCACTCAGCAACATCAGACATCATCTTGTCCTGAAAAGTGGTGTACAATAAGTAAACACGCTGTCAACATTTCTCTTCTAGAGGACAAACAAACCAGCAAACTATCCTGAAATTATTGGAGTCCGCCAAAGTCGGGGTGATGGTTTTTATAGTGTTTCTGGTGTGTATGTATTTTTCGTTGGCTTTTAGGTAGTCTATGCTGGTTTATTTGCTTTGTTGTTGATTTGGTTCTATTTTTATTGGGTAACCAATGGTTGTATAAACTTTCTGGATGGTTCTGGCCCATGGATAACAGCGGCCAGTTGATGAAGGGGTGGAGGGCAATGGATGAGGGGGTGGATGAAGATGTGTATGAGCAGGTGTGTGTTTGAATATAGGTGTGGATGAAAATAGAGGGGAAGCATGTACGTAGCAGGGAGAAGAGGGACAGGGAAGTACATGAGATCTTTGCAGATTAGTCTTGGATTCTCATTAAGGAGAATTTAAAAAGAAAAATGTTGTAACAATGGAAA